CATATACAAATGCTAGCTTAAAAGACAAAGACATAATATCTGTATGTAACTTATTACCTTTGAAAAGACTTGACACAGCTGGAAATTAGTACTTCATGATGTATGATTGTACCTGAGTATACTCCACTTTTGAGGAAACTGTAACTATCTTGTTTTATACTAATGTATGGTCTCAGAATTGACTACATAACAGAATCCTTTCCAAACCATAAATATATCTTTTCCACGTGGATTTAAGACCTATAATGACCCTCTATTATTGTTTCAACTCAGTAAACAGTTACCTATATTATGAATTCATACAAATATCAAACACATAATTTAATATGAAACCAAAACTTTCCATTGAACCTAAATTAACCATGTAATCGCATTGGTTTTTTTCTTTTTCTAATAGTGTATTATATGCCACTTAAAAATGTCATTATTGTTTAATAGTATGAATATCTGATCATGATTATATATGGATCACATGTTGACTTGTATATCCATTAATTGGTTCAATAAACTAATAAAAAAACATGAATTCAGCAGTATTTAATCAGTTTTTGATAATATATGAATTATATAAGTTATTCAGGATATTAAAGTACATGTATTCGAATGTTCAGTCATATAAGTTCAACCTTCAGAATTTCATTATCATAATTGCTTAACTTGTGCAAAATACTTGACAGCTTCAGATGCAAGATACATTTATGTAATACAAACCAATGATATTTTCAAAGATCCTTAAAACCAAATAATTCATAAAATTATAACTCCTATATATTAATAGTATTTTTGACTCCTTTCCAGACACTCCCGACAAAAAAAGGTGTACTAACTCTCCTCTGCATATGCATTGAAGTCAAGGTCATCTTTGATGTCCCTGGTATTGCAACACATGATGATGATGAAATTGATCTATTTCTGTAATTGAAAATATAGCATACTAGTACCATTGCCTAAAATCTTTACTATTCAAACCAATTCAAATACGTGAATTGCAGCACTGCTTAACAGGAAGAATGGTTGTCATTAAGAATCATCTTAACGTTTTCAGCACAATCACGGTAATGTCTATGATTATTGTTAAAATGGTGAAATGCTAAAATATTACTGCGGAAATGATTCAAATGAGACAAAAATGTTGACTTTTGTGCGATTTTCTAGTCGACTTTTTCTACTTTATTTCTTTAAAGATTTGACAACCCTGGAAAGTTGATCAATATATCAGACTTACGGGCTTGTTATTGTTTAGGCCCTATGTCTGTCAAGCTTGCCCAAAAGCAAAAGTATCTCAAAATCAAAGTGACGTCATATTTATAGGACTACCCTGGATAGTTAAACATGCTTTGAAGAAATGCCTGTTCTGCTAGTAAATAGGTATAACCCTTTTTGAGACACATGTGACTAATCTATTACACAGCAGTGTAGTTACTATGCCAGTTGTACAGCTTACAGTAAAAACAATAATGTGATTGGAAAATAAAATTTATTCAAAATATAATAATGTTGTTTCTTATATAATTCTTAAAAAGTGATTGGCCATCTTAAACGATATTACAATGATTATAACATGCACCATAAATTTGTAATGGTTCAGGCTCAGTGGACCTTATATTTAACAATTTATGGGTACGAAAATTACAGTGAACGAAACTTTAACACACAGACGTGGATCTGCAAGTTTAATTTCTTTATCATAAGTCAATACCATCCTAAAAAACTATAACAAAATATCTATGTTTATATATGCAATTATTTTTATAAGTAGATCTAAGACCAAGAAAAAATTAAACGCAAACAAAACTATGATCACCTGTCAATCCGAAAATGTTGCACAGTAACTGGTAACAACTTCACGGTCGCTTTTGGCTTTAATTACTCTTTTTAGAACTTTTCATCGCCTTGAATCACTACCGAAGTATATCTTTGATTGAATTAAATCACGGTTTCTTTCCAAGTTTCGCCTTTTCCTTTTCGAATCTGAGTTTTTTTCCTCGTATATAGCCCGGGGTTCTATGATATCACGTTACTTAACATTTATAGGGAAATATTCATATATAAATATCATACATGAAAGAGATTTTCCTTCTATCTAATAAGTGAACCTTTTCCAAAACTGTTTGTCAAAAAAATATTTTAAAAGATCCAATTAAATATCATTTTTTTAAACTATTTCCAATATCTGCCATTTTGGGTAATTTTAATAGAGGTTATGTACTATGGTATCATGGTATTCCCTAAAAATGCAAGTATGGAAGGATTGATGGGTCAAAATCTTCAAATTTATTTTTGAAAAAACTTCAAACAGTTAACATGCTATAAATTTCTATATGAACAGACAATATGTCCGTTTTTGTCATTATAACATATTTCAATTGACAGTGTAAAAACCATTAAGGAAAATAGTAGTAAAATATGACGATTTTATAAAATACTTTTCTCATCACGAATACATTTTTTCTTTACAAAATTTAATTTATTGGCAGATGAAAATGAATTTGGTGTGCCCTTTTAAAAAATATATGCATCATGAGTTGCTTTAACTAGCAGTCACAGAAAACGTAAAGACCGTGATATCATAGAACCCGTGATATCATTAGAACCGAGTTTACGTTTCACAGCTTTCGTATTGTCAGCCATTATTTTGGTCAATCAATCACGTGACTCCGATGAAAATAATCGAAGGGCTTCCCGCCAAAATATAAATCTTATTTTACTAACTCAGTCACATAAGACAATACATTTTTAAGAATGGTCAGAAATGTTACGAAGAGCGTTTCTTAGGTGGAAAACTGTCAATACTAGTTAAATAATGCATTTGATAACAAAAAGATTTATATTTGACAATTTGTTTTGATGAATTGGACCAGGAATATAACTTTAAATATTCATATTATATCATATGTCCTCATAGGTGTGGGCCATGGTTTACACAAGGACAAATATTGACCCAAAAGACATTCTGAATATCAGGTTTTGCAAAGTTATACAGGGCACATCTTAATAGCTTAGCTCTTGGAATTGTAGATTCACACAATCAGACTTAACGTTGTTTTCGGGTCATAAACATATATTTTTTGTTTGTTTTATCGTGTAAGTTTTTGAACAATTAAGTAATAATTCGTAATGAACATATCATGTCTTAAAAAAATGCAAGATATTTTAGGAATGTATATGCAAAGCACTGGCTTTTTGTAAATATTTCACTGAAGATGAATGTGATTACTTAAATAATATCCATTCAAGTAAGATAGTGTAAAAATTAATAATCCATGAAAATGATGAATAGTATTCAAGTAAGTTCCTTACTGTGATAAATTGAATATTTTCTATAAAGGTATATAAAAAAATGTAATCATGACTTTGAAAAAAAGTGATATAAAGTAAGATTTGTGAAAAATGTATGCATTATTGTAATTATTTAAATAATGGTCAAATAGTATTGAGATATATGAAAAAATATCCATTGAATTTCTTTAATTGCATTGCCAATTCCTTATGCATGAAATGTATAAAACATAAACAGGCTGTTTACAAGCATTAAAATGCCGTTATATGTTTGTTAAGTAGTTTTTGTCCTTAAAATGAGGACGATCGGAAACCTTTAGTTTTCATTTTTACAGTTTTAGCGCCATGTGAATATAAAACTATGCAAAAACGTAACCTCGTTTTAAAATGCACTTTCGATAAGTTATATGTAATTGATGACATACATCCGACAGATGATGGTTCCTTAAGTATTTTTTCAGACTGTCCTGACACATTGACATAGCTCAGACAACGTAAACTGATTTAAATGCTAAAATTCTACAACCAGTAATCGATTAGCGTAAAGCTTCGATAATGATGATAATAAATCAGAAAAGGACAACAATGAACAATTGTTACATGCTTTGATTTATAATTTCAAAATATGACCTTTAACTTAAATACAGGCGTTAATGTTTCATTGAAATCAACTGTTTCACATATCTATGTAGAATTTGCATAAAAACATTGCTAAAAAATGAATGTAACCCCTGCATCAAAGTATGGGGAGGCTTTTGAGTTTAAGAAGAAAAACAAGTAACATATACCGAATGTTGTTGTTTGCCATAGTAATGGGTAAAGTAAAGTAGGGTTATCTGTTATATGCAAATAAGTTGTTTTGTTGGAATTGTACTTGTTAATTTGTTCATTAACGACCCTAAAAACAGAGATTCCAAATGAAATGTTGTCATATCATATTTGTCAGTGAACGTGATTATGAACAGTTGTAGCAAATATAAAATTGTTGCTAGATTGTCTCGATCACTGACAAGTAACAATATTGGCACCATTATTTTCTTGTTTGTATTACTTTTCACGGTGCGTATCCATATCGGTAACCTCTTTGCGAAATTTACTAAAATTGTTACCTCTTTCCTCATATGCACAGGTCATTCTCTACTGAAAAGAAGGTGACATACACATTATTCTTGTAATTAAAGGTGTCATGTGGTGAGGAAAAGAAGTATAAGATATATATATATATAAGTTATGTTTAACGTTTTGATAATTGTAATGCGTTTGAACATCAATCAATATACAATGACAAGTTGTTTTATCATATTTAAAAAGATAATGTAAAGTATCTTAACTGGTACTGTTGGCCCGAGGTGGAGGGGATAGTGTTTTGAGCTGTTGCCTAAGGCCATAGATTTATCAGTTTGGATTATATTTTAATACACATGAAAATACACAAGAAGTTGACACTGAATTGCCGTCCGATTTTTAGAGGATTGTTCATACATCTTTAATATACCAGATATAGAAAATAGTTTAGTTTTCTGGTTTCAGAGATTCCAGTATATACAGAATATTATTGAATGAATTTATTGGAAAAAAAACATAACGGAGACTTTTAAAATCGCGCGGTTGTCAGAGGTTTTGTTAATCAGATGTTCCGGATTTCAGTGTTTTACTTTTCAAATGTACTGAAAAGTAGAAATAAATGTTTTTAAAACGATGATATTCAATTTACATTTAAGATACTATGAGACGCTCGACTCAAAAAAGGAAAGCACCTGAAATACTTGAGAATCATGACCAACCGACTGTGCGTAATAGGCGACGAAGGCCTAGAGCACAGATACCGCCGCCACACGAGACAACTATACCAAAGGCAGCCACTGCGATGATACCTTCGGTTGGTACACCACCGCCTAGGCCACCTACATCTAAGCTAGGAACACATACACCTATGGCTATGCCAAATTTACCCACGGCAAGGGCACCTATAATTCAGGCTAAGCCAACTACATCCACACCAATTGCACCTACACCTCCGGCTAAGGCATCTACATGCACGCGAAGAACACCTACACATCTGGTTAGGGCACCTACACTACCGCCTATGACACGCATACAACAACAAGTGAACATGGTACAGCAACTGGCAGAGCAACAAGGTAAGAACAACCAATTTTTAGTGTCAAAGCCATGGAAGGAGAGTATGCCTTCAATAAATTGTAACAGACGAGGCAGGGCAACTTATGTAATGATCCCCATTAGAGAAAAAAGAAAAACTTAACCGTTGCAGAATGGCCAGTTAGCAATCATATATTAAAGCACTCAGCCTTCAGAAAGACAGAGAATATAATTTTATGGTTAAATCATTTGGACTTCAGCTAAGCGCCACTTGTAGTTAGAGTGAAAAATGATATGACTCAGCATTTCGGGTGATGCTAGCGTCAAACTTATTCCATTCTTCCTTAGTTATAGATGAAGAACTAAAGATGAATTATATGGGTCGGAGCACATTTTGATTGCAGCTTGGAAAATCCAAAAAGACAACTCTGATTTGAATTATTGATAGTGCATGATAGTAGGTTCTTATATCGTCTGTATGTGAAACCACCGGGTTGGATGGGACTGGAGGCAAACATATTCTTTTCCAAGAGCTTGTCTTTATTGTCATGACATTCCGTGAAGTTACTTTTACACGTATACTCTTCCGACAATAAGTCAGAGATTCTGCTCAGTTCTGTGTTCCAACTGTCACTTATGTTCAATTCCGACGTGTTTTTGGTAACTAGGTTCATATCAATTATTGATCTGTACATATACGAGTTTTGGATGCATATGCTTATAACAATTCCTCGTTGCTAGAAAAAAATGAATGTGAAATATGCTAGCCACCGGGTATTCTAGTATCAAACTGCGAAGAGCTAGGCTCGTTTCAAAAAGAGTTATCTACGTTAATTGTCAAAATCGTATTAACGAGCGTATATTGTCCTGTTATTGAGTCTTCTCTTCTTTCATTCTTCTTTTGTTTCTTTTGAATTTGCAATAAACGTTTTTATGCATGTATTTGGCCTAAATTTTACAAATTACTCTTCAAAAGAGTATTCTTAACATAAGGAGTTTCCTTTGATTAAAAACCGGCATGTTCGGAAGACTTTTTTATTTAGTTATTTATAAGTTGATATATTGATAAAGGATCGGTGGCTTCAAATTCTTGAATTGAAGTTGAATCTTTCCCGTTACAGATGAACGCCGTTGCAGCGTTCGATCTAATACTTGCATCCACGAAGATGTGCAAGGTTGTCCGGCTTTCACTTCCGGTTTCGGCTGTTTCAGAGAAATATCTTCTCGGGAATTTAAATGTGGCAACAGTGTTCAAGTATTTCGCTTGACTTGACCATTACTGTTAAATATCTTCTGGAAGTGGTACATCCCACTCGTACTTTTGTTTCCAAATGTCCTGTAACAGAAGTTTGGCTCGAACGGTAACTTAGGATAGTATTCCAAGGGGGTCGTATATCTGAGATGAATATTTCAATATCACTCTCTTTGTTACATGAGTAGAAACAGGGATATCTCTCTTCACATAGGTCACTTCATCTGTTGACGGCTCCCAACGTAGACCTAGGACTTTGGTGACGTCGTCAGTATCTTATGTGTTTACTCTGCCGGTTTCTTGTTGTAACTTTTTGCTGTTGGAGTTGCAATATCTCAAATTCATTCCGCCATTAGACATCAAGATGCGTGCTTCTTTAAAGAAATTAAGGCATTCTTCTTCTTTTTTGAAACTGAATATGACGTTATCGACGTATAATTCTCGACGTAACATTTCTGATACCGTCGTATGTGGATTGTTGGCTAAATGTTTTATTATCGTTGCATTGAGTATGAATGGTGAACAGGTTGCACCAAAAAGCACAACTTTAAAATGATAAGTTGAAAAGTCACTGTTGTGGTCATTCGGATCTTTCAGCCATAAAAATCTTGACATATCTCATCATCTGTTTGTAATCCTACCTGCAAAAACGCCTTTTCAATATCTGTTGAAACAGCATACGCATGCAAACGAAATATCAGCAGAATTGAGGTAAGTTCATTTAAGACTGGGGGTGTTGACTGTAGGCAATCATTCAGACTGACATGGTGTGATGTTTTACGGCAGCTACAATCGTAAACAATTCTTATAGGCGTAGTTGAGGATTTTTCCTTTATATGGTGATGTGGAATGTAATGGTTGGGCTTTTTCGTCTGGATCTCTTTCTATTGAACTCTTTCAATGAGCCCTCGTCTCTCTTGTTCTGCAATGATATTTCCATATTTTCTTAGCAAATCGGGTTCTCTGCTCAATCTTCGGACTGTACTTTCAGTGCGTTTAAGGACAATATCATAATTTGTAGGTAGTTCCGGGTCGTCAGTTTTCCATGGTAACCGTGCAGTATACTTTCCATCTTTGAAGTCGATTGACGTCAGCTGATACTGTTGTCTTTCGTCTTGTAACTTCCGGTCTGTGTCATCTGATTTTATTCGGAGATTTTCTAGCCTCCAGAAACGTTCTATCGATATGTCCTCTGGTATATGAGAGACCATCACGTTTAAAATCTGTTCAACATTTCTGCTAATTTTTAATTGATAAAGGCAAACATATTCTTTTCCAAGAGCTTGTCTTTATTGTCATGACATTCCGTGAAGTTACTTTTACACGTATACTCTTCCGACAATAAGTCAGAGATTCTGCTCAGTTCTGTGTTCCAACTGTCATTTATGTTCAATTCCGACGTGTTTTTGGTAACTAGGTTCATATCAATTATTGATCTGTACATATACGAGTTTTGGATGCATATGCTCATAACAATTCCTCGTTGCTAGAAAAAAATGAATGTGAAATATGCTAGCCACCGGGTATTCTAGTATCAAACTGCGAAAAGCTAGGCTCGTTTCAAAAAGAGTTATCTACGTTAATTGTCAAAATCGTATTAACGAGCGTATATTATCCTGTTATTGAGTCTTCTCTTCTTTCATTCTTCTTTTGTTTCTTTTGAATTTGCAATAAACGTTTTTATGCATGTATTTGGCCTAAACTTTACAAATTACTCTTCAAAAGAGTATTCTTAACATAAGAGGTTTCCTTTGATTAAAAACCGGCATGTTCGGAAGACTTTTTTATTTAGTTATTTATAAGTTGATATATTGATAAAGGATCGGTGGCTTCAAATTCTTGAATTGAAGTTGAATCTTTCCCGTTACAGATGAACGCCGTTGCAGCGTTCGATCTAATACTTGCATCCACGAAGATGTGCAAGGTTGTCCGGCTTTCACTTCCGGTTTCGGCTGTTTCAGAGAAATATCTTCTCGGGAATTTAAATGTGGCAACAGTGTTCAAGTATTTCGCTAGACTTGACCATTACTGTTAAATATCTTCTGGAAGTGGTACATCCCACTCGTACTTTTGTTTCCAAATGTCCTGTAACAGAAGTTTGGCTCGAACGGTAACTTAGGATAGTATTCCAAGGGGGTCGTATATCTGAGATGAATATTTCAATATCACTCTCTTTGTTACATGAGTAGAAACAGGGATATCTCTCTTCACATAGGTCACTTCATCTGTTGACGGCTCCCAACGTAGACCTAGGACTTTGGTGACGTCGTCAGTATCTTATGTGTTTACTCTGCCGGTTTCTTGTTGTAACTTTTTGCTGTTGGAGTTGCAATATCTCAAATTCATTCCGCCATTAGACATCAAGATGCGTGCTTCTTTAAAGAAATTAAGGCATTCTTCTTCTTTTTTGAAACTGAATATGACGTTATCGGACGTATAATTCTCGACGTAACATTTCTGATACCGTCGTATGTGGATTGTTGGCTAAATGTTTTATTATCGTTGCATTGAGTATGAATGGTGAACAGGTTGCACCAAAAAGCACAACTTTAAAATGATAAGTTGAAAAGTCACTGTTGTGGTCATTCGGATCTTTCAGCCATAAAAATCTTGACATATCTCATCATCTGTTTGTAATCCTACCTGCCAAAACGCCTTTTCAATATCTGTTGAAACAGCATACGCATGCAAACGAAATATCAGCAGAATTGAGGTAAGTTCATTTAAGACTGGGGGTGTTGACTGTAGGCAATCATTCAGACTGACATGGTGTGATGTTTACGGCAGCTACAATCGTAAACAATTCTTATAGGCGTAGTTGAGGATTTTTCCTTTATATGGTGATGTGGAATGTAATGGTTGGGCTTTTTCGTCTGGATCTCTTTCTATTGAACTCTTTCAATGAGCCCTCGTCTCTCTTGTTCTGCAATGATATTTCCATATTTTCTTAGCAAATCGGGTTCTCTGCTCAATCTTCGGACTGTACTTTCAGTGCGTTTAAGGACAATATCATAATTTGTAGGTAGTTCCGGGTCGTCAGTTTTCCATGGTAACCGTGCAGTATACTTTCCATCTTTGAAGTCGATTGACGTCAGCTGATACTGTTGTCTTTCGTCTTGTAACTTCCGGTCTGTGTCATCTGATTTTATTCGGAGATTTTCTAGCCTCCAGAAACGTTCTATCGATATGTCCTCTGGTATATGAGAGACCATCACGTTTAAAATCTGTTCAACATTTCTGCTAATTTTACTTGAATTGATCGGTCCAGACAAAAGGTATCCAATTTTCGACTTTTCGGCAGTAGACCCTGTACGACGTATAATCTCGTCCTCAACAATCTCTCATGCGTAACTTGATGTGCCAATTTTAACCCTTGAAGGTAAGGCAAACTAGAGATGTCGGAGCTATGTGTGTTATCTATAGGAGTCGCTATAGTCGGGACAATTAGAACTTTCAGTGGTATCTGCTGTCTTTTGTCTGTAACAAGATACACCATAGCTTGGTCAAAGTGTTGCATCTGATTATTTTTGCCCCATAACGCAGATATTCGGATTGTTTCGGATTTTCCCCTTTCTAATTGAAGCTGGTCCGATAAAATTCGGTGATAAAAGTTCTTTGTGCTCCTTCGTCAAAAAGTATGGTTGCTGGGCTACATATATCTTTATAACAAACGTCAGCCATTGCTGTCTTAAGCAATACCCCATATCAAAATTGATGCGCGGAAGACTAAATCACTGTAGCATCAGAGGTGTGCTGTGTAGAACTTTTGCCTTGGAATTACGACCGCTATCAGACTTACACATAGTTGTGTGATGCTTTCTGTTACAATTCTGGCATCTTTTAGTAGACTTACGCGTGATGTTTACCTCAACAGTTAAGACACAGTTTTTTCTCCTTAATAACATTTAACCTTGACGCTACATCAGGATACTTCCGACAATCTTTAGCTCTATGAGATTCCTCGCAAAAGTAACACTTAATTCCAGTTCTTGTCACATGCGCACTGTTCGAATTTCTGATACTTCTTGTCCCAGTGATTAGTAATACAGTTGATCCGTAAGTTTCCACTTCCGGTTGAATCGAGTTGTATGATCCGGCTCCCATAATATTAATTTCGTTGTAAATAGCTCTACGTAAGTCACATAACAACCAATTTCTGTCACCGTGACCTCTCGCTAGATTTTTCTCATTTCTCCCGGAAGTTTGTCGAGCAAAATAGGCACGAGTAAATCGCCTTAACATTCTTGTTGCTGGCCCAAACACTCCAGTGCATGAATGTATGTCACCATTTTATCATAGTATTCACGAATATGAAAAGTATTTTTGGGACTGGTAGTTGAAGCAATGCTTGCATTGTTGCGTTTATTATCTTATGTTTTTGGCCATATCTCTCTTTCAAAAGTTCTGTCGCACGTGCATAGTTTTTATTTGTAAGTGCCAAACCATCAATCGTCCAATTCGCCTCTCCTTCAAGCTGACTCTTCAAATATGAAACTTTTTGTACATCCGTTAAGTTACACTTGAGATGAAAAGTTGACTCAAACGAGTCCAAAAATGTCTGCGAGCTTAAAATGTCGCCATTGAATTTTGGTAATGCAAATTAAGGTAACCTATGATACTGTGAACTTGCCGACATTAAAGAATGATTGCTGCCTAGGCTGTTATGTGAACCAGCAAAGTGACTATTTCCTTTCGGAAGTTGAATGTTGACATGACTTCCTGTCTCCTTTGCGTCTGCTCCATCAGTAAAGTTCTCCCGCTTATCGTCTGCTCTTATATGACTAATTACTTCATGATTCACGGTAATTTCACTCGTACGACCGTCCGTCTGTGAGATCATTTGACGATACGATCTTAGTTTCCGTAACTCAATCTCGAGTTCAAGCTTATATTCTTCAGTGGTAATGAGTTCTTCTTCGATACTTGACTCCAGTTTGAGAAAGAATCTTCTTATCTAACGTATTTGTCTTCGATTCGAGAGCCTCCAGAAAAGCGTTGAATTCTATTATATTTGAT